AATAAGAAATAAATAATAAAAGCAAAAGTTGAAAATAAAATGATGAGCTAAATTAATAAAGAAAGAACAAAAAAAAAGCAATCACAATAAAAAGAAAAAGAAAAAAGAGCTTTATTGTTTTTAATTAGTTTTTATAATTTAAAATATCACAATCCAAAACAAATAAACTGTTTTTACATAAGGTCAAGTGTCAAATTTGAGAGATTAATGCAATTTGCTAAAGCAGAACCTAAGCCTGATGCGCCTTCATCACCAATTTAATTTCCACTTTTTAAATATTGAAGAAAAAATATATCATTAAATAGTTAATTAGAAGGAAAAAATGAAGAAAAAATATGAAATAATAAGAAATAAATAATAAAAGCAAAAGTTGAAAATAAAATGATGAGCTAAATTAACAAACAAAGAACAAAAAATAAGCAATAACAATAAAAAGAAAAAGAAAAAAGAGCTTTATTGTTTTTAATTAGTTTTTATAATTTAAAATATCACAATCCAAAACAAATAAACTGTTTTTACCAAAGGTCAAATGTCAAATTTGATAGATTAATGCAATTTGATAAAGCAGAACCTAAGCCTGATGCACCTTCATCACCAATTTAAAAAACTTTCCAAAAACTTTAATTAGTAGAAATGCCATTAGGGTGTAGGTGACCCTTCCCTTCTAATATATTACCCACAATTATATATAAATAAATTGGTATACGTATAATAATAATGTATAAGTAATTATATATAGGGCCCCTATCCCGAGTGCATGTCACCATGTGCGAGTATGTATGTATGTATGTATCACCAATTTAATTTTCACTTTTTAAATATTGAAAAAAGAATATATCATTAAATAGTTAATTAGAAGGAAAAAATGAAGAAAAAATATGAAATAATAAGAAATAAATTATAAAAGCAAAAGTTGAAAATAAAGTGATGAGCTAAATTAACAAAGAAAGAACAAAAAAAAAAGCAATCACAATAAAAAGAAAAAGAAAAAAGAGTTTTATTGTTTTTAATTAGTTTTTATAATAAAAAATATCACAATCCAAAACAAATAAACTTTTACCGAAGGTCAAGTGTCAAATTTGAGAGATTAATGCAATTTGTTAAAGCAGAACCTAAGCCTGATGCACCTTCATCACCAATTTTATTCTAACTTTTTAAATATTGAAGAAAAAATATATCATTAAATAGTTAATTAGAAGGAAAAATGAAGAAAAAATATGAAATAATAAGAAATAAATAATAAAAGCAAAAGTTGAAAATAAAATGATGAGCTAAATTAACAAACAAAGAACAAAAAAAAAGCAATCACAATAAAAAGAAAAAGAAAAAAGAGCTTTATTGTTTTTAATTAGTTTTTATAATTTAAAATATCACAATCCAAAACAAATAAACTGTTTTTACCCAAGGTAAAGTGTCAAATTTGAGAGATTAATGCAATTTGCTAAAGCAGAACCTAAGCCTGATGCACCTTCATCACCAATTTAATTTCGACTTTTTAAATATTGAAGAAAAAATATATCATTAAATAGTTAATTAGAAGGAAAAAATGAAGAAAAAATATGAAATAATAAGAAATAAATAATAAAAGCTAAAGTTGAAAATAAAATGATGAGCTAAATTAACAAACAAAGAACAAAAAAAGCAATCACAATAAAAAGAAAAAGAAAAAAAGAGTATTATTGTTATTAATTAATTTTTATAATTTAAAATATCACAATCAAAAACAAATAAACTTTTACCGAAGGTCAAGTGTCAAATTTGAGAGATTAATGCAATTTGCTAAAGCAGAACCTAAGCCTGATGCACCTTCATCACCAATTTAATTTCCACTTTTTAAATATTGAAGAAAGAATATATCATTAAATAGTTAATTAGAAGGAAAAAATGAAGAAAAAATATGAAATAATAAGAAATAAATAATAAAAGCAAAAGTTGAAAATAAAATGATGAGCTAAATTAACAAAGAAAGAACAAAAAAAAAGCAATCACAATAAAAAGAAAAAGAAA